ATCATCATAAACCACTTGTGCCGTTAAGCGGCGTGGGGGAGGGGGGGGGACAATTTGCCACACAGTGTTTAGGCATGCAGTGGCTATTGACGCCGGAAAACTTCTTTAAAAGTGATATCGACCACGGTATTTGGCTCGCCGGTAGACTACTTCGTCGCCGGTAGGGATAGTATTTGTGTCTGTCTCCTTTTACCGCATCGGCACCGCAGAAATCCTTTTTTACGGCTCTTTGTGGCGTGCAGTGCTTAGCCATTTGATATGGCGCATATAACATAGTCACAATTATAACTGGGAAAGTCCAGTAGGGGTATAGGGTGTGAAATAAACGCTGACTAACATTAACCATGCCCCCTCCTTAATAAATATTGGACTTTCCCGGAAACTCCCCACGCAGTCTTGGAGTACCTAAGATGGGGTGAACTAAAGGAAAAATACCAACACGGGATTATTTTAAAAAAGTTGTCCGGATAGCTTGTCATTTAGGAATCGCTGTAGGTTGTGCCCGGAGTAATCAGGCTGAAGACCACGATTGCCCTTGCTACATTACCCTAAAAAGGTACTAAATATAAACAGTAAGGGGTACCGGGAAACGTCCTGAACAGTTATATTGACCACGTTAAACATAGACGTTTGATTGGTCCTTAAAAATTCAGGCCACTTTCTGTACTGCAACTGGCTGGTTTTCGAGCGGGCATTTACTTTTCACAAGTGGGTGCTTTCCTGTTTGCTTCCAGTCGGCTGTGAAATGTGTGTCTCTTGTGAGAACCATGTGGTTATTTACTGACTGAATGAAAGCGTGCGCCATCTTGTACAGTGTTTAATGACATGGTGTGCGGTGGGAACGTGCTGAAACAAACAACCCATACTTGGCGCGTACGGAATCACGCCTGTAGTCTATTTAAAAAATCGTGCACTCAGACTAAGTCATATCTTGAAAAACGCCTGTGCGGATCGACTCAAATTTGTGCGCGTGTTTTTAGATGACCTATGTGCTCATAATTGTATAATTTATAATTGCACAGGGTCTACTGTCTTCTTCTTCGTAATGCCGGGATGCCGGGTTCGCTCCCAGCTGCGGGCCATGCGCCTTGCGTTGGTTTCGACAGTGGTATCAAGAATGCCGACTGTCCAGAAGCGATGGCAAACTACTGGACGTAAATTTGCCTAGAAAAACCACACAACAGCCAGGGGCTGTTGGGGTTGGTACTGCAACGTCCTGTAAAGGATACGCAACTAACCTAACTGTCTTCTTAATTTAGCGAATTTCCCAAATCTTTGTCGGAACAATGATCTGTGCACCCCTAAAAAATAAAATATCGACACAAATTGTTGACTTTAAAACCACAAGCGTAGAGATTGATTTGGAAATCATTTATCATGCGTAGCCATGTGTGGAGATTATGTTGATAAACACACACACACATATCTAACTTACGGGAGACTAAAGCTGGTTTTTCGCACCGGTTACCTCTAATTATATGTTTTGAATACGTTTCTGTCTTGTCATATACCTCAATTAAAGGAAAATAAAAACTAAAATGTTTGTTTGCATTAAAATTATTTAGCTACACGGACATGATTATTAACAGATTGCATGACAAATTTCGACAATTCACACCATACTGTTACTGAGTTACTGATTTTTAAAGTTGGGTTCGACTTTTGAAACGGATTACAGAATATATTGTACACTGTTGAAGAAAAAAAAAACACTCATAGTTATCCTCTGACGCGTTTCAATTAGTTGACAGGTTAGCAAGTACGCCGAAAAATCTGTCGATGACCTAGACGCATAATAACTGTCAATTGATTGGTTAAAACCGTCTGCTTCTTCTTTATTTAACATGAAAATGGCATGGTATGTCGTTTTGTCAAGTTTGCTGTTATGTTTCCGTATCTGCGTCTTTCGGCCTAACGCTTTCAGCATCCTCAGACCCGTAATTGGTCACCTTTTACGACATGCTTGTTAAGGAGCAGCGGGTTTATCCCTCCCTTTCCCCCTTAAATGAAACAGGAACCCACGTGGGTAAACGAGCCATTCTGTGTTTACTTTTTGAATCATGACCTGGTGGCACATGAACATACTTCTTTGGTTAGACTGTCACATTTACTGCCAGATAGGGCGGTTTAACACAGCAGGTAACCTGAATATTTAGGGCCGCTTGGTTTGTGCAGTCGCCAATAACGGAGACTTACTGATTATCCGCGGAAAGACTAACCAGGAAAGAGATGTGGTTTGCTAATGATAATGATGAGGATTGTCTCTTGCTTGTAACATGCGTCCCACTCTGATGCTTTATGAAAAGGTGTTGAAACAGTTCTAAATTGTTATTGAGCATAGGGTTATTCTCAGGGCACTTTGGCTGTGTCCGCAGGTGCTCAGATTTTGTTCAGAATGTGTGTGTGTGCATAAATGGCCCGCACAGACGCAGTACAACCAAAACATCAGGAGGCAGGGGAATTAGCCCACTTATAATTTTCCAAAGGACAGGGCTCAGTTATTATTATTGTTATTATAATTTCTTTGTCCTCAGTGGCACATAAATATATGTAATATTGATGTAATTATATAAAATTAAACAAATGCTTCAAAAGCCAGTGCCCGTACATGGTTGTGAGCCCTTGACAACTTTTAGGAGTTGCCTTCTCTCCTAAAATAATCAAATCACCATCATCATGTAGCAGGTCCTTTGCAGAACGTCGCTCTCATCACAGTCTGCCTGAAAGAAACTCAGTCTCTCGTCAATTCTCCTGCCTCATGCACTTTCACACTCAAGGAGTCACTTATATCCTGTGCCTATCTTCGTGTCAGTCGGCCCCTGCTCCTCCTTCCTGGTACCATGCCTTCTGTTATAATTTTTTCCAATCCGTCGTGGCGCTTGATATGACCAAAATATTTCAGCTTTCGAGAAAGGATGCTGTTTATTAGCCAATCTTCCTTGATGTTCAGATCTTTTAAGATGTCAATATTTCTCATCTTCTTTGTCCAAGATATTCTGAGAATATAGCATTTCAGCTCAAAGGCCCCTATTCTCTTTCTTAAGGACTGAGAGATAGTCCACGACTTACATCCATATGTAGCCACAGGGATGATGCATGCTCTCAAAGTTCTAAAAATAATCAAATAGAAACATAAAATAATAATAATTTTCAGCTGGTGGGTGCTTAAGGTGTCTGAACTCCCAGACTGGCTCAAGTGGTCCCTTAGAGAACCGTGCCTGTTCCATGCTAGCTGGTTGACAGTAGGGGTGCTGGAAGCTTGAAATCACCACCATCTAGTAATTGGCTCGCCACCTCGCCAGTTAGGACAGTATTTGGGTAAGCCTCCTTTAATCGCATCAACACTGCAGGGGTCCTTTTCAGGTCACTTGGTGGCGTGCAGTGCTAAACTACTTGATATGGCAGACATAACCTAGTCACATTTGTAAGCTAAAGCTCCCCCTTTAGGGATGCTGGCTGTAGGTGACGATTTTGTTGTTGTTGCACCAATGCATCAACCTACCTCCTACCTAGAAATGTGCAATTGTGCTAACGATGAACAACCGCCCCCCCCCTCCCTCCCCATGTTTGCTTGTGGTGGTGCTCCTGATTGACAAAAACACTTATGTACCAGTATCTTTCTCATCCTTGATGCAGTTATATACTTTGAGTGGATAGTCTTTTTATCGCGCTGACTTAAAACTAGGACCTTCAGGTCCACAGGCCAGCATTTAGCGGCTACACCAAGGCGGGCCCCAAGCTGGGTCGTGGGCCTGTTTAAAAAAAAAAAACCAGAAGACTGCCTCATGCGTTTTCCTGCAGAATTGTGTGTCCAGTATCTTGTACCTACCTTAGTGTTGGTAGACCCTGCCTCTTTCTCCAGGAACTATGCCTTTCATTAATTTCTGTCAAATCTTCTTCTTTTTAAAGTCCAATCCGTATGGCTTTGGTATTATGTCTGGCCACAGCTTTTTATCCATGTACTGTCAACAACGTTTGATGCCGTCTCTCCATGTCATAAATCCAATATACATAACTTCCTGTGTGTGTTCCAGGGTCCCCGTGGAGAAAAAAATAGCCCACTTCTTACCTAAAAGCATGTCATAAGAGTTGACTTTGAAGTTGGAGTGCATCTGCCTGAGAGGCAAGAAACCAACAGTTTGCATATACATAAGTCACATCTGTAAATGGATATGCACACAACAGTCAGGTTCTGGAGAATCCAGAAATTGACAAGCAACCAGAACTTTCTGCCATAGTTTACAGCTGGTGAACCCTAAAAAAGAAGAAGAAGAAGAAGAAGAATCTGTCCAACATAGGAAAACTCTTGGTCTTATTCTTCTTCTTCTTGATTAACCATGCCGGTCTTTTCTGATTTTTCAAAACCTTTTCTCATTCTTTACGTGTATTAATGTGGCTTTTGTATCTTGTCTCTCCACAGCCTTCTGTTACATGTATTACCAACAGCATTTTATGTGGTCTGTCTATGTTATGAACCTAATCGGTCTAACAATGGAAGAATTTTGGTCCTGCTTTTCTCTTGCTGGAGTAACCATGCCTGTCATTACTGATCTTTCAATGCTTCTTCCTCTTTTTCATGTCTTATCCATATGGCTTTGGTTTCTTGTCTGCCTGCAGCCTTCTCTTACATGCATTACGAACAATGTTTGATGTGGTCGCTCTATGTTATGATCTTAATCTGTCTAACAATGGAAGACTTTTAGTCTTTCTTTTCTCTTTCTCCAGTAACCATACCTGTAATTACTGATCTTTAACAATTCTACTTTTTCTTTACATCCATTCCATGTGGTTTTGGCTTCTTGGCTGTCCACAACCTTCTATTACATGCACTCATCATCCAGTGCCTTGCCGACTGGCATGGACAATCATACCTCTCAACAGTCAGTGATCTCTGACCTGTCCAGGCTTGACATCTTTTTTTCAGACCTCTCTTCACCTTCGACATTCCTCGTAACATACCCCATTTTCTTCTTCTCGTTGTTCACCTTTAGTCAATGAAGACAAGCTGCATTTGACAAGAAGACAAACATGAAAGTGGCCATCAAAAAGCTAGCACGCCCTTTTCAGACAGCCATCCATGCCAAGAGAACATACAGAGAACTTCGCATGTTGAAACACATGAATCATGAAAATGTAAGCTTTTTTGTTTTTACTCTGTCTTTCTCATTGAACGCACAGTGTTTGTCCATCTGTTATCCTCGTGGTATGTTTCAACTCTACCAATCTGTCTGTCATTGGCAACTCTCTGTATGTACCAGTCAGCTTGTTTTTTAAATGTTTGGTTATGTGTGATTTTTCTGTTGATCATTGTTGTTCTCCTCCCCCCCCCCCCCCCCCCCCCCACGCCACACTTTCTCCTACCCCTCCCCCCCCCTATTTTTCCACTTATAGATGAATTAGTATTTACTGTGTAGCAGTGCCATCTCTATTTATAGGCCAACTGGGTCAACAGTTTTTATCGAAGAGATGTATACACAAATTAAACTACAGTTTCATTAATTTTCGACATGTTTTATAGAACTATACGTCATTTTTAAGGTAAATATCTGTGCTATTTAAATATAACAATAAAGGCTCTTACAAACAAAAATGCTTTTGCTACAGTCAACATGAACATAAACATCAATAACGTGTAGAAATAAACTGAAAGCTATTCCAGCAAAATTAAAGAAATTATAGTGCTAACTCTCTGATTCTGAGAAGGTATTGTTGCATCAGAGGAGCAGGGGGGGGGGGGGGGGGGGGGGGGGGGGGGGGGGGGGGGGGGGGGGGGGGGGGGGGGGGGGGGGGGGGTGGCATTTGTACATTTTATCAAATTAAGCACATACAAATATTGCTGTGAAACATACAAAAATGAACTCAGACCGTACAACTGCAAATGTGCATAAGAAGTAGATGAACAACCAGAAGTTTCTGCCAGAGTTTACAGCCAGTGTTCGCAAGGAAGAAAATTAACAAAGATAATATTATTAGTGTACTTCTACAACATAAAATTATACTGTTAGTCAACATTTAGTAAAGAGGCAAAGAGTGACTTGCTGTGAGAGGTGAGTTAGTAAATAAAATATTGTTTTTATGCATTTACCCAGAGCTCCGAAATATCTTGACACAATTTATCCACAGTGTGGTGCACCATTTATGCACAGTCAATATGAAAGCAATAGTTTTCTTTCAACGCAAGATAGTTTACACCTGACATCTGTTGATATTCTCCAGATATGGCTTCTAAATTACCTGATTGTATTTTCCCCAAAAGTAAGATTTCTACATTAAAAGTAGAAAAAGAATAAACAGCCAGTTCCCAAAAATCCAAACTACTGACTAGAAACGGTGACACACACATCACAAAACGACTGTCTGCCGTGAATTTAAATTCAAATTGCTGTTATCTGACAGCAGAGTTTGAAAATCTTGTATATCCACTTCACAATATCGGCTTGTCAGTTTGTAATACGAAAACATTCAGAACACAGAACTTTGTAAGCACGTTAAAATGTCACACAATGCAACATGGAAATGCTTCCAGTAACCAATTTTCGAGGGGACTCTGCCAAAATGTACTGTGATTTAGTAGGAAGGAACTATATACAGAAGGACGTGGTGTGTAGTATAGTCAGTATAATACCAACCTCAAACTTTTAGACTAGTCAACATTTAGTGAGTAATTTGGTTTCTTTTGCCATCCCCATACTTTCAGACCAGTTTACATTATGTGGGTAGTATGGTCAGTATTATGCCATCCCCATACTTTCAGACTAATTTACATTAGGTGGGTAGTATGGTCAGTATTATGCAAACTCCATACTTTCAAATTTAGATTAGGTGGATAGTATGGTCAGTATTATGCAAACTCCATACTTTCCGACTAATTTATGGTCAGTATTATGCCAGCTCCATGCTTTCAGACTAATTTACATTAGGTGGGTAGTATGGTCAGTATTATGCAAACTCCATACTTTCAGACTAATGTATGGTCAGTATTATGCCGGCTCCATGCTTTCAGACTAGTTTACATTAGGTGGATAGTATGGTCAATATTATGCCAGCTCCATGCTGGCAGACCAGTTGGCTTTCCTTCGAAGTTGGAGTGCATCTGCCTGAGAGGCAAGGAACCAACTGTCTGCATACAGAAAACCCATATTTGTAAAACAGATATGCACATACCGGTTAAGTTCTGGAAAAAGACCTAAAGTCTAGGTGTAGATGAAAAAAACCAAAACTTTCTGCAGAGTTTACAATAGGTGAACGCAAAGAAGGAGATCTGTTGGCACTTAGTGGTTAGGATGGTCAGTATTATGCCATCTCCATACTTTTAGACCAGTGTAAAATATAGCCACTATCACTCAGCCACCTTAATTTCCCAGGACATTTGCTGGTGTCATTTTCAGGCTGGATCAGTCAGAAACATTCTTAATTGTAGCAACATTCTTGCACTTAAAACTGTAATGTGAAAAACCAGTTAAGTTATTGATTAGTTCTCATAGATTGAAACAGGCCACCCAGTGTTTTATGGGGCCCATTTGGTGGCTATTCATTTATTAATTACTTCAACAAGGAAGTTAAGGTTAATGTTGTTATTAATGTCTGGCAACACAGTTGTCTGGGAGATAGACTGGAAGAGTTGCAATTTTGGATGTTTCCCATCTAGTTTGGCTCTGTCTTGTAGAGCAAATATCAGAAAGATTGCATAATGTTTACCAAAGAAAACAATCAAAGTTCGGAGAAATGGTCGCCATATTTCATAAAATACTCCTGCCTGCCTTCCCTGTTGTCACAAGTTCCAACCTCTTTTGCAGTTATGAAATGTTCACAGGCTTTCAGGTCTACCCAGCATGGAATTGCTACCTGAAGATGCCTTTTGAAGTTAAGGTTGCTGGTGCATTATTGACAGCAGAACCAATCAAGTACTGATTTAGTCTATACAAAATATGCAATTTGCTCCAGTGGTCCAGAGGTTAGACTCCAGCGGTAGCAACTTTAGGAGTTTACAGTGTGGATCTGAGGATGAAAGTCACTGCATTGTAATGTTGATAGCAGAGAATATGTTTAAGTGTTTTTCTAACACAAGAAAATCCGTTCACACAATTAATAAAATGCGTTTCAACCCCCTTTATGAAATTAATACACTGGAGGTGCTCTCTAAAGATGGGGTTAAATGCTTCAAACCCACATCACATTTATGAAATTGCCCACATAAAAGGGTGACATTAGGTTCTGATACTTATTTTATACAATGTTTTAAAATATTGTTTCCTAATGTTTGGTCAGAAGATGCTGACGAAATCTTGCAATTTTTCTGTTTTATGTTTTTCATACATATTTCTTCTTCTTCTTTCGTTCGCATTTTCATACATATTTAATCCTTGCCCTGTTTTTGTTTTTTTGATGTGTGGGTGGGGAAGCGATATGAATAGATCAACTGCCCTCTAACAAGCATGTCATGAAAGGCTTCTAATTAGGGATTGCTGTAAAGCAAAGGGCCTTCTGAGAGAATTTAATAAATTCAAGTGAACTAAGAGATGAGAAAAATGAGCTGGCATTCGATCGGACACTCACAGAGAGATAATCTGATAACATAACATTCTTGCATTTGAACACAGAAGGTGAAGTGTATCTAAAATAACACCACGCACACACACATACACAGAGGGAGTGAGAGACTTATGAAGTGAACAATTAGGTTTAGGCTCAGTCCTGTAATTTTTTTTAATGATTAAACTCTTCCAAATGCCGTCCCTAATAGCTTGGCGCTGTCAGATCAACAGTCAAAATTTCATTTTTGATTTCGCTGCTCATGCCGCCTCTCTCGCAGTGCCGCCTGGTGCAGGCGTATCTCTGTGTCATAGCACGGCACGACCCAGGTTGGGTTCACTGAGGTGATCTACACGCTGTATAGCAAATGATAGAGGAAGACTTGGGGTATGGTGGTTGAGGACCTGTGTTCCGGTGTTTTCAGGTTGAAAAAGACTGCTTAACTACTTGTAGGTGTTCCGTTTTCGAGACCAGAAACTAGGAAGTAAAAAGATTTTACAACTGTGTATGTAGTATAGGTTGTGTATCCCAGCCAGGATGTAAAATTAAACAGTACTTTTTTGTTTAACGTGAGAGTCATAGTGAAGTTTTTCTATTTTCTTTTGATGGGCCTCTCAGGCCAACAGGTGAAATATAGCTGAGGTGTGGCACGCTCGGCTGCTTGAGAGATTGAACCCAAAATATCTTCTTATTTGCAGGCAATCGAACAAACCACTACCGCTGCAAATTATTATTATTATTATTATTCCCCGTGGTGTGAGTTTTGGGGTTCATTGTGGGGGGGGGAGGGGGGGGGAATAGATCTCTCTCTCCCCCCCCCCCCCAACCTCACACTTTTTTTTCACAAGTGTGTTGTAAAAGGTTACTATTTAGGAGAGTACCCTTCATAGTCAGAGTACACCTGCCTGAGAGGCGAGGAACCAACAGTCTGCATATTAATAGGCTGGATCTGTAAACGGATCTGCACGCAAAACTCAAGTTATAAGAAATGACCAAAGTTCGGAAGTTGACAGGCAACCAGAACTGTACGCTAGAGTTTACAGCCGGTGAACTCTAAGAAAAAGAGGGAATTGTTATCATTATTATTTAAATTGCTTTTTGATTTTGTGGATCTGAATATTGCTGAGGACTGTCTAATAAACAGTAACTCCTCTCGGTGAAATACCTGGGCCATTTTAAACGCCGTAATGGTTTGGACTGAACAGCAATGGATTGAATGATTCCTGGAAAAGAGAGAGGGGTAGACCATCATGACAGTGGACACAGGATACCAGGGTCACCCTGTGCATGAAAGCTCACCAGAAAGGGCAATTTGCAAAGGTCCGTGGGGCTTTTGGTGTACCATGGTGGGAGCGACGTTCTCCAAAGGACCTGATACATGATGATAATGATACCCTTTAGGGGCATTTTGCTCATTTGCTGTACTGACCACTATACCTCTAGAAACCTACTCCGTCGTTTACAATCAAAACAGGGAAGTATAATTTTCAGAAAATGATCCAGAAAGAAAAGGGCACCAATGCACGAGATGTAGTCGCAGTCACTACACTTGTTCCACGTGTGGGTTTCGGAGTCCCATTATCGGAAAAACACGAATAGCC